GAAAGGCAGTGAGATGCCAGCTAAGGAAGTCTACCTGGACTCACTGTTCTGGAAACTTTTGTATTCCTATGATGTCATTATAGCCAGAAAACAAATGAAAAAATCGAAGTGGTTGGGAGAAATAAACCATGTCTGTTTACTTCTACAGAAATGGCCTTCCAAGAAAAACATTTTACTGAACAAAGGAAGAACCCTTTATGTCTGTCCTGGGGCACATGTAGCATATATGCTGAAGCATTTCAGTTTGTGACTGTGAAAAGCTAAATTTAGCAATTTAGAATGGGGAGAGTGTTGCTTCTTTAAATAAGTCCACTTTGGGTAAGCTGCATAAAATAAACCTCAGAAACTTTGTAAGGAATGCTACTATTGTAACATGTCATCATCTGAAAAACAGAACAACTATGCATAAGAATGGTATTACCAATAGCTCATGCCTATAGATTATCCCTGAGCTAGAAATATGATGGTTAGATCTGGAAAAGGTTAGATGTGGGAGGTGGGATTTGGGTTTTGGGTTTGAGACCCAAATCATCAGGGTTTGTGTTTAATTAGCCAGAACATTCTGGAACTACTGCTTTAATATTTTGTCCTGGAATAAAGGAAACCTTGTGAGATCAGTTTGTCTCACAACTGATTTCATGATTTGCCAACTATTTTTATTTGGAAATGGTGGCCACGAAGAAACCATCCCTGGAAACAGGGACCCATTCAATTTTAAATCTGACTTGTAGCCATTGGCATGTCATCAGTTAAGGAATATAGGCGAAATCCTTCATGGATTTTGAAGGGTACTGTGTTCAGAGCTCTAGTTTTGACCCATCCCTATTGAACAGCAAGGTGAGAGCCCACTCATAAATCCAAAGAGCTCATTCAATGTCCAACAATTATTTGATTTCCTAATTGTATCTAGTGTAATTATATTTAATGGATTTTGCATTAGGTCCCAAATGAAGTTATAGGAAAGACTGTAGTAACTCGAATGATCTTTGGTTCAAGTCTTTGATCTGTGGGGATGTGAGGTAAAAATTGTACTGTAGGCCATAAATATTGGATTATAATTCTTATGCTATATTCATTGTATTGGCTCTCAATGTGCACAAAGGGTAAATAATCTAGGGATGCCTCAATTATATATTATTATGGCTTGCTATTTTTATAAAAGATATATCATTACATTTTGAAACATATTAACAATGGAAAATAATTTTATAAGCCATATAAACTGTGTCAGATCTGGAGTTCAATTATGCATTGTTGTTAATTTGTTACGGATTGTTTAGGAGAATAATTATGAAATGGGTGAGTGATAAGAGTAGACAAGCAGTAATTTAAAAGGAATTTTTTTTTGAAGTTTTAAAAGAAATATAATACAGGGAAGAAGCAAGACAAAAAAAACAGAATAACAAAAATGTTACAAATAACTCCAGCACTGGATGCTCAGACTGGAAAGTATCTCCAGCTTAGAGTTACATAACTGCTGTATAGGGCTGTGCGAAACAGAAGCGTTTTGTTTTGGCCAGCATTTTGACGTTTCAATAGAACAGTGTTTTGTTTGGACTTTTGTTCCGAGTCAAAATGGCTGTTCTGTTTTGTTCCGTCGAAACGTTTCGCCCATAGGATATAATGGGGAAGGTTGAAACAGGCTATAACTTTGTCATTTCTGATTTGGATAAAACTTGCCAGAATGGTAGCCTCTTCTGAGGACATGATTTGTGCCAAGTTTCAAGAAGATAGGTGCAGGGGGTTCGGAGAAACTGCACCCTGCTGAGGCTATGAAGCCTGCCAAGTTTCAAGGAGATAAGTACAGGGTGTTGGGGGAAACTGCACCTCAAGCTGCGGACAAGCAAAACTCATAACAGATGATCCTGTGTGTGTGAAGGCACAGCAGGATGAAAGCCGCAGGGGTGGTGGCCCCTGCTGGGAAACTGCACCTCAAGCTGTGGACAAGCAAAACTCATGACACGGGTGCTTGTGCAACTGTGTCTGTCTTGGGGCATTGGGGTGGGGGGGAACTACTGTAGGCCTGGCTGCTAAGCTACTGTGTTACCAGTTGCCAATTAATCATGATTCGCTCAGGGACCAGCTCAATACACAGTACCTAGCTACTACATAATGACTTAACAAGCATGGATTAACACCTACAAAATTACAGACTAAGGAGAGGAAATAATCAATACAGACAATCAACTGCCCCAAGACGGACACAGCCAGTTGCACAAGCACCCATGTCATGAGTTTTGTCTGTCAGCAGCTAGGGGTGCAGGGCCCCAGACCCCCCCCTGCACTGATCTCCTTGACAGCTGGCAGGCTTAGTGGCCGCAGCAAGGCCTAGCGGCCAGGCCTGCAGTAGTTTCCCCTCCCCCGTGCCCCAAGACAGACACAGTTGCACAAGCACCCATGTCACGAGTTTTGCCTGTCAGCAGCCAGAGGTGCAGAGCCCCAGAACCCCTGCTCCTATCTGTTCAACATCTGGCAGGCTTTGTGGCCACAGCAGGGGCCACTACCCCTACAGCTTTCAGCCTGCTGTGCCTTAACACACACAGGATCATCTATGTCGTGAGTTTTGCTTGTCTGCAGCTTGAGGTGCAGTTTCCCCCAAACCCCTGCACCTATCTCCTTGAAACTTGGCAGGCTTTGTGGCCTCAGCAGGGGCTAGCATGCCTGCAGTTTTGACCTTGCTGCAGCTTAACACGTACACGTGACATGAGTTTTGCTTTCAGGATTTTGGGGTGCAGTTCCTCTGAACCCCCTGCACCTATTTTCTTGAAACTTGGCACGCTTTATGCCTTCAGAAGGAGCTACCATTTCTGCAAGTTCTATCCAAATCTGGCCAGAAAAGACAACATTATAGGCTGTTTTGACCTTCCCCATTATAGCCTATGGGCAAAATGTAGAAACAGCATCGAAACAGCGAAAAATTTCGACTTGCGTCATTTTGTTTTGAGGTTGTTTCGACCATTTCTGTTTTGTTTCGATTTTGCTGTTTTGACCTCAAAACAGGTCAAAACAGCGTCAAAACATAACTGGTGGCGAAATTTCGCACAGCCCTACTGCTGTATCCAAGAATCATTGAACTCTGGCAAAAAATGCTTTATGACTGTCTATACTGACAGATAATAGCCCTGAATATTCATAAATCATTTGACAATTCCTCAATACTGCAAGTGCTTAGGAAGAAGATTCAGTCACCCACTATTTCCTAGAAGCTTAGTGGAGCATCCTCAAAAATGGCTGCTGGAAGGTATTGTATATATTGATATAATCAAAATAAAATAAATATATGTGGGGCAAAGCAAAGTCAGAACCTAGTTTGATAAGAGATCCATGCTAGTAGATCTTCATTTCCGGACCAAGGCCTTATAATGGCATTCACTGGGACAGATACGTGCTTTCCTGACTAATCACTCAGCCCCAGAATGTGAAGTTTTGCAAGCAACTGAGCAACTTGTATTTGCTGCATTAAAAAACACCCCCAAACTCCTACAATGAACATTTTTCCATAAAATATAGAATTGCCTTTCCCTCCCCTAGATTAAATATAACATTAAGTCACATTATCTATGGGTGCGGGGGATACTTTACAATAATTATTTTAGAGTTATCAAAAGTATTAGGTTTTTTTGGCAAAAAAAATGTGGCAAAGGCAGTAAAGAATGCACAATTACATGATATAAAAAGGCGCTGAATGTTTCCATTTGTATAACTTGCCTGGTTTGGCAACTCAGGAGAAGTTTGGCCAACCAGATTTGTGCCATTCAACTCATTACATTAAGCAAGTGTATGTTCTTCTTTGTACAATTGAATGCATACACCGATCACATTTTAAGAATGCCTTCTTTTTTTAAATATTCTTTTTGGTTCAGAGAATTGAATTTATTTAAACCTACATTCTAATGTGACACCATACATCTGCCCTTTATATTGCATAATACACGATATCCATATCATACTGTTTTATTTAGAAAACATCATTATTTCTCCTTAATATATCTGTGACGACTTGTTTATGTTCATTGTTTAAAACTTGTGAGGGCTTTATTAAACCATACATTCTTTTGAAAGTATTTGTAGTAACAGAGTATTCTTAGGCCGTTTGAAGGAAAGTGTTCCAACCATGTGAAAAATGCATGAAATCAAATCTAGAAACTTCAGCCAAAAATAGTCTCTTGGGTTGTGGTTCAGTTCTGAGAAGGAAACAATGCAGAATATAAAAGAGTTAGTTACTAGATATTTTCCAGGAGTTGGTCCAAAAGAAACTGTAGTAATGCCTGGGTTTGAATGAGATTTTTTTACTAAGAAAATATGTCAAATTATATAAGAAACAAACATGTTGTGCCTTCAAAGTAAACACAACTTCATTAGCTTATAAAACGTAGGTTCTCACACCAGTTACAATTCTGGGAGTATATTTATCAGATGTTTTGCAGCTACAACTTACACACAAACCAAATCTTGTAGCCTTTTTCACAAAAGCCTAAACCTAATTCAGGGTATTGTGACAGTTAATATGACAACAGTTTTTGAAGTAATATAAAAGCTCATATCTCCTGGTTTAAATCAGTGTCTAACTACTACAAATTAGGATGAGATCTCCATTAGGTGGCAGATTATTCTGTATCTGCTTACCACGGGATTCCTTGTACCATTATCATAAGGATCTAGTTCTGGCCACTGTCTGACACTGCACTAGTTGGACTACAGGTCTCATCCTGTCTGGTAATTCCATTTTTCCTAGGGGACAAGACTCAATAATGCTGTTTCACCAAAGTGCTTTGCTACCTTTTTAAAAGAGAAAGGGGGGCGGTATTGGGGACCACTGGTTGCTGTAGTAGAGATTCAAGTAGAATATTTTATTTGATTGCTGAGCTTGAACATTGCTGTTTTCAGAGCAACCTCTCTGTTTCAAATAAGTCTTATCCAAAGCACAGGTAGGATATGGTAGCATGTGTAGAAGACTGTTGAGGAAATACTTTCTAAACGGTTATATTTTCCCAATGTAGATCCAATTTGTTATTGGAGGACATACCTACAAGTTCTCTAAAAGGCAATTACATGGTTAGTCACTGTACCAGCAAGGAACATGACAAGTATGAATGTCACATACCTTCAGTGAAACTCAGCTACACTTATATCTTATGGTTAAAGATCACAAATGGTGCAACAACTCTTTGGTCACCTTTACTGTTGGTCACACCCATAAATATTGGTAAGTGTTGATTTATTGTACACCTTTGTTATAGAGAGTGATACTGGTAATCAAATGTCCTCTTGCTACTGGATGAATCTTTCAAGAACCACAGCTAGGGCTGTGTTTATTCCAAGAGTGATGTTGTAGCTGTGGTGGTCCAGAATTTGTGAGAGGCAAGGGGAGGGAGGTGGAAAAACAGCGGGGGGAGATGGGGGGTGAGAGATTCTCAGGGATAGCAGACACTCCGATCTGCTGTTTTTTACTATCCCGTGCCTGGTTCCTGTAATCAGACGTCCAAAGACTGTCTTTCATTCCAAGGCTTGTCTAACTTTATCCCAACTACATAGTCCAATAAAAGATAGTGCTCTGAGAAATCCTTGCCTCTTTCATTTATTCTTTGGGTAACTTTTGCTCTCTGGACCCAACTAGTTTTGTTCCCCTTCTAGTGCAAATCGAGGAATGGGAAGGTGTCCTGGAGGCACTTGCCTTCTCACCTGGAATGGAGAAGGGTAGGACAGCTTGTGGAGAGCTCCTCTGTGCATGCATCCAATGGCAATGGTTAGCTGTGTCCTTTTTATTACCTAACTTGTAGTAAAAAGGAGGAAATTAGGTCCCCTGGGTTGGGTTTTATTAATTTCCTTTTTCACTGATGCTTTGCAAAAAAAATAATTAAAAAATTAAAAGCCTTTAGGATGAATTATTTGGAAGATGAGTAGATTATATGGATCACTGTATGCTGCTTTCTGTTTAATTATGTCATAGAAACAAATTTCAGTTAAACAGCTGCACCTGCCAATGTTAAAAATGACATAGATATAATTCATGTAATATGCTCTGAATAATAAGTAAAGTTAGATGCATTTTAAAAATGTATAATTTTAATAATGTGCTCTGCAATCAGTGAGCTCAATAAAAAGAATAATTAGTTTTAAAATAAAAAGATGAATATTAGCTAAGGTTGAGTTGTTTGCGCACATGAGCCATAGCAACAGAACACATGGCAACAGAACATGGAAACATTAAGTCCAATCATGTGACCATTCAGATTACACTGTAGCAAAGAAGCCTCTTTTAAAAAGAAATGCTTCTTTGCTACCATAACGAAATTTTGATGTCAAGATTACCTACTCAAGCTTGCTAAAGCTGCTTTGAAGCATTTGCTTCTGTTTGTTTCCTTCAAGAGCCAGTCAGGTTCAAACAGTTAGGGCTACTACTGAATTTAAGGTTTGGCCCTGAGTAGTTCAATAAGTTCAGTATCTTTGATAAGTTGAATAAGAGTCTGATAACCTTACTCAGCTCAAAGAGTATCTGTCTTACTCCTTGAGAATTATCACTGATATTCTTCAGTGAGACGCTTGTTTGGAAAATGGCCTTTTAAGGACCCAAGTCTGTGATCTGATCCACACAGGTGGACATTCGCACCTGAATTAAGCTTATTAAAAGAAGGCAGCTTCCCACAAGCTCTGCTTGGTCTGCCCATGCAGATCATAATGTAGGATTTAATTTTGTGTTTAAGATGGCCTTCTGAATCCCTGTTTAAGAAATTTGCAAGTTCTTTGTTTTTAGATGATATACATATGCTTGCCTATTTACTTAAATGTTATTTATTAAAAGTGTTAGTCCTGAGTGAGAGAAGCTTAGTGGTTTCCTTCATAACTATGCCCTAGAAAGATGAGATTAGCCATAGTTGTTTTAATTGCACAATGATAAACAAATGTATTTGGTAACAGCTAAAAGTAGAATACTAATGTCTTAACTTTGTCCAAGAGAGAGTGAATTTTATACTGGTGTAGTTATCATTCTGGGTTAAGCATCCACTTTTTCTCCTCTTTGTCCTTTTTTATCCCTGTTGAAGCCTTGTGAAATCTTCAGTATTTCTTTCCATCCAGGAGGGCTGTAATAAGGAAATTATGGTAGAATGGACAGGGCTACATTCAAAGCCTGTGGTTGAAGATGCTAAGAGAGCTTCTGCTTATTTAGGAGATGAGCAAATAGCCTGGCCAATATACCTAGCCCATAAGCCAGTGTTTTCCGGCTTTTGATATGTGGGGAGCACTTTTTTCCCCCTCACTTAACGTTTGTGGCACACTTTATTTGTTGGTCATGGCCTGGGTCTAGTCCATGGGCCTGTTCCTGCCATGTGGGGCAGACCCAGCAGAGGGCCAATGCTGCCATTTTTGGCAGCACACCAGTGTGCCGCAGGACAGTGTTTGGGAATATCTGCCCTACCCATTTTTAGCAAAACGCTTAAGCCAGTATTTATGCTCTATAAAATCAGGGCCTTGTGAAGCTAGAAAGTGATCCCTAAATAATTAAGCTAAACATAGCTTGGTTTTTAAGTATTTTAGTTAGAATACAGCTTGCAAATAATACTACACCACATTGCTTTTGTCTATGGAAACTGTATTTGAAGTGTAGACGATGCAGTTCTGAAAACATGTTTGGAGAGAAGTTGCTGATTGAGTGGTAAGTCCTAAAGATATTGTAGCTGGCACACACTGACAACAATCACTGCAGTGGGTGTAGTAATCATTTTAATGTTTTTGTACAGTAAAGCCTGAGCCTCCTTTGAACCTGCAGCTAGAAATGACAGACAAATGGCAGGTAAAGATCTGTTGGTCCAGCCCAGTACTTGCATTGTATGCCCTTCAGTATGAAGTGAAATTTTCTGTGAATTCTACTCAAAATACTTGGCAGGTGAGTCCATTTGTTTTGCTTGCTTTAAGGTGAACTAATCTAATTAACGTTTCAATACGGACAAGTGCAGGGTGCTGCACTTGGGCAGTAGGAACCAGCAGCACACTTACACAATGGGGAACTCCCTACTTGAGAGCACGGAGGCAGAAAGAGATCTTGGAGTCATTATTGACTCCAAGATGAACATGGGCCGACAATGCGAGGTCATGGTTGGCAGGGCTAACCGGACCTTGTCGTGCATCCACAGGTGCATCTCGAGTAGAGCCAAGGAGGTGATCCTCCCCCTCTACGCGACGCTGGTCAGGCCACAGCTGGAGTATTGTGTCCAGTTCTGTGCGCCCCATTTCAAGAGGGATGTGGACAACATGGAGAGGGTCCAGAGGAGGGCCACCCGCATGATCTGGGGACAACAGGGCAGACCCTACAGTGAGAGACTGCAGGACCTGAACCTATTCAGCCTCCACAAGAGAAGGCTGAGGGGGGACCTGGTGACCGTCTATAAACTCACTAGGGGGGACCAGAAGGGTTTGGGGGAGACGCTGTTTCCCCTAGCGCCCGCTGGCATAACAAGGAGTAATGGGCACAAGTTGATGGAGAGGAGGTATAGATTGGACATCCGCAAAAACTACTTCACAGTTAGGGCGGCTAGGAGCTGGAACCAACTTCCAAGGGAAGTGGTGCTGGCCCCTACCCTGGGGGTCTTTAAGAAGAGGCTGGATGCCTACCTGGCTGGACTCATTTGAGTCCCGTTTCTTGTTTTGGGGTTTTGTTGTTCTCCCGCCCTGGCGGGGGGTCGGGCTAGAAGATCTACTAGGTCCCTTCCGACCCTAAATCTATGAAACTATAATTCTTTATTTAAGCAAAATCAACTACAACATTTGGTCTAGATCCCACAGTGTCAAAAATCTATTGAGATGCTAATGTAAGAATTACTCTCTAGGGCTAAGTACAGACAGTCAAAAAGCCCAAGGCTGAATTGATTCAGTCTTTGTAAGTTAGGCTAAGCTGCAGAGTTTGAACCAACAAGCAAATGAACACATTCACTTTTGATTTAGGAAATGCAGCCACATGTCTGCAGTGGCTGAAGCCAGAAGCCGGGGGGCACTAGAGCATGGCAGCCAGCCACTCCAAGGCTTTTCCGCCCTCCCTGCTGGAGCAGAGGACATGGCCAGCCCCAGCCCATGCTCTGCCTGGGTCAGGGTGGGGGAAGGTGGTAGCACTGAATTCATAAAACCTTGAACAAGAATAGTTCTTTCTCTGACAAACTATAAACTAAAAATTATAAATACAGCCTGGGAAGTGAGTTTGTTTCCTTTTCCTGTTGCCCCTGAGGTCTCTGGTTTAAACCTCTGTTACAGGTTTAAACCAGTGTCTGATCACTTAAACCAGTTTATGTGTAACTTGTGTCCCTAGCCTAGGGCAGCTACTAGTTCCCGTTTCACCAAACCTGCTGAAATCTGCAGTGGGCTTTGAATTTGAAACTTACAGCATTCAAAGCACTTGTCTCTGCTAAACGAGTTAAAGGACTGGAATCCTGGAAGTCTCAGACTTTTAATGTGGAACAAAGTACCATTTACTTGCATACCAACACACCCGCTAATATCCACTACTCCCTCTTCCTGGGCAGGATTTTAGCCTTTTTGAAGTTAAAAGCAAAGTTTCCTTTACCTTCACTGGAGCTAGGTTTTCACTCAGTTTGTGTGTGTGTTGTATTTATTAATGAATTATAATTACAGCACACACTTTTTCTATCTGTGATATAAGAGGATCAGATGTTTAATAGAACCCAACTAAATATTGTAACTATTTTCTACTGGTTTGTGACTTACTAAAACTTTGAATAAACAGTTCTTTTAAACTAAAACTCTACTTGTTCCTTTGACTCCTCCATTCTTGTGAAGTGTCATAAAATAATAATGGCTTCTGATAACTTAACAGGTGGTTAAGACTGTCTTAGAAAATTCCCTGACTATAGACGATACGCTGCTTGGTTCTTCATATTTAGTTCAAGTACGGTGCAAGCGTCTTCATGGTCTGGGATTCTGGAGTGAGTGGAGCACACCATACAGTTTAAACACAGAAGGTACGTCATATACAGTCATTTAAATAGCCATTGTTTGGAATGCAATTGTTTATTTTGTGGAAATGAATACATGTGTGCTTCTATTATTTAATGTGCTTTACTTAGTAGCCATTATAATCCAAAATACAGGCAGTCCTTGGACTTACAACACAATTGGTTCCTGAAAACCGCATCTTAAGTCGAAATGTTGTAACTCGGAATCAATTTTCTCATAAGAAAAAATATTATAAATGGGGGATTGATTCCTGAACCAAGGCCCGATACCCTATTTTCACCAAAAATACCCCAGAATTTTGTACTCGATCAAATATAGATGAGTAATATAGCTACATTAGTGTATTTATATTGTAAATAGCAATCATTGATTTGGAAGGACTTCTTTGAGGTGACTTTGCTGGACTTTTTTGAAAGGCTCTTGGTTGGACTTTTTGAAGTGTTCTTGGCTAGAGTCTTCTCAGGAGTCTTGGCTTCAGGTTTTTCTGGAGTCTTGTCTGCTTTCTTAAAGAAAGTGTCCAAGGAAGTTTGGACGGATGTTCTCCAGGGAGATGAGCAATGCAGCGAACTTGTTCACAGGCATGGTGTTGCATCGGATCTAGTGTTGTAAAGTCGAAACTGACATCATAAAGTTGAAATAGGGTGTCAATTTATAAATGTTGTAAGTGCGAAATATTGTAACTCAAAACGTTGTAAATCAAGGACTGCCTGTACTACAATGGATTAGGTAAAAAGCGTGCATAGTAAATTCTCTAAAGGGTGCACTAAGATTTGGCTACGCATCTTATGATAATATATTGTGATTTGTAAAGTAATACCTGGCCCATTGGAGATTCTGGTGTCACATCATATATTTCCTCTAATAATCCCATTGCACATCTTTGAGATGTGGGATTGGGTTGCTGTGCTTTGGATCTCCACAGTGGATCTGTTCACTTTTTAGCTTTCTGTTGTTTGGGTGAGTTCTTAGCCTCTAGCCTCAGTTTGTGGGCATGCAGTCTCTGTGTGATATCTGTCTTCAGAAGTAGGACCCCACAGTACAAACTGCTGAAGCTGCAAGGCCAGTTCTGAATTCCTTTATGATAGTTGAAGCCAATAACAGACTTTGCAAAGGAATTTCTAAACTAATTAAACTTTAAATGAAAGATCTAGGCAAATCTGGTAAGCACCACTAGAAAGTTCCCCATTCATTGTGAGAAGCAAAGTATTTTTTGGAGTAACTGTATAGTTGAGAGCGCTCTTAGACAAGCTTTTGGGTCACCTGAATAATGGAATTTTGTGTCCAAAAGCTCGTCCAACATTTCTCCCAACTATACAGTTGTTCCAATAAAAGATATTGCCAAAAAAACCCTTTCTTCTTGCATGTCTCCTTGACCATCACAGCTACACCATTCCCACTGTTCCTTGCCCTACTTTCCTTGAAGCTGTTTGATATTATTTGGGACTTAGTCAGAATTCTAAAGTCCATGACCCCAGGGTCTAAGATCCTTTCACTACTCTTCTCTGCTTATAGACCTTACTTTCTGGTTCTGGTTTCCTTATGAAAAAAGCTAGTATGAGATCATTCTGTTAATAGGCTTTCAGTGTCCCGTGTATGATCAGCCTCAGTTCCCCATCAAATGAGCTGTTGTTTGGCTAACAGAGCCTAGGCCAGGGGTGGGCAAAATGGCAGATCCAGCTGGTGGCCGGACTCCATTTCCCAGCAGCCCCTGCCTGCATCGCTCCAACTGGTTTCCATGGAGACCCCACTAGTGGCAGGCCGAGGGCAGCAAGGAGTTAGGTTTTCCATGGAGACTGGCCCCAGCAGCACTAACAGGGTATGCATTGGGGCTGGGAGCTGCTCCAAGACCAGGGCTGGGATCCTGCAGCAGTGACAGAGTGGTTTGGAGCCAGGGCAGAGCCGTGATCCACTGCCTGCACACCCCTGTCTGGGGCATGTGGGCAGCAGATTGCAGTTCTGCCCCAGCTCCAGACCATGTTGTCACAGCCCTAAGATCATGGCTCTGGAGCAGCTCCCTGCCCAGCCTCCCTTTCCTGCTGGAGCCAGTCTCCATGGAAACCCTGCCCCCGCACTGTCACAGGCCCACTGCTGCTTGGAAACTGGCCACAGCGACATGAGCAGGGGCTGCTGGGAAATGGAGTCCACCACAGGCCCAGTCCAGCCCATGGGCCAGACTTTGTACATCCATGGCCAAAAATGTGGTGGCTTTGGGCAGATGCTACATTTATGTCCTGGGGTGCTTCCATTTGAATGGATGTTACTAAAGGTTCAGTGACCCTTGTTGTTTAGTCTCTAGTCTTCTGCTATATATAACTGTTTCTTCTGTATGTTTCAGTTTAATTTCAGGGTTACAGAGCCACACCAAAAGCAGAGAACAATCTTATGGTCAAAGTGATGGTCAAAAAAAAATAATGTTTTCAGTTTTTTGCATCTGACCCAAAACAGGTTATACAGAAGACCTTTCCTTCTTCACTGTATTCACCTTTTTTACTAAGTTTCAAATCTAATATACGTGAATAAGTGTGTTTTGTGTGTGTGTTTACACACACACACATACACATTAGGGATGTGTGAAGCTTCGGTAGCCAATTTGATTTGGAGGACATTTGCCCTGATTCAGGGACTGAATCTGAATTGAATAGGGAGACCAATGAAAAGCTCCGAATCACTTTGAAGTATCTGAATCAATTCAGAAAATTTTCGGAAAAGATTTGGCTGCTTTGGAGATTTGGCCATAGACCAAACAGGCAGCTGACTCAGCTGGTAAGTCTGTTGGGATGCGGAGGGGAGGGAAAGGGCGAGGGGGAGGGAGGGATTGTGGTTGGGGCTGGGACAAGCTGCCCCGCCGGGGCAGGGGGACATGGGATGCGGGTGCAGCAGCCCTGGGAGCGGGGGCTCTGTCCTGCTGCTGCTTACCCAGCTGGGGTGGGGAGGTGGGGGTGGGATGCGGGCACGGCTCACTCCAGGTGGAAGCGGGTAAGCGGCAGCAGATGCGGGTGCAGCAGTGCTGGGAGTGGGGGCTATGCCCTGCTGCTGCCTGGAGTGAGCTGCGCCTGCATCATTTCCCCCACCCCGCCCCTGCACCAGCTGGGCAAGTGGAAGCAGGGCATAGCCCCTGCTCCCACTACTTCAGTGTCTGCATCCCATGCTCTTCTGCGTTGGCTGGCAAACGGCAACGGCGACAGCACCTGCACCTGCCACGCCAGCTGGCAGGCGGCAACAGGGCAGAGTCCCCACTTCCAGCACTGATGTGGGTGTGGCAGTGCTGGGGGTGGGGTCTATGCCCTGCTGCTGCTTGCCCAGCCAATGTGGGGGGGTGGGGGTAGGCACGATGCAGGCTTGGCTTGCTCTGGGTGGCAGCAGGGCACAGCCCCCACTCCCAGCACTGCCATGCCCACATCAACATGGAGCGGGGGCTCTGCCCTGTCACCGCTTGACAGCTGGAGTGGCAAGGCACAGGCTGTGGGCATGGCAGCATTGGGAGCAGGGGCTATGCCATATTGCTGCTTGCCCCTTTCCACCTGGAGCAAGCCGTGCCTGCATCAGGCCCTCTCCCCCCACTATCCTGGCAGGGCAAGCGGCAGCAGGGCAGAGCCCCTGCTCTGAGTGCTGCTGTGCAAGGCATCCCCTTCCCCTCCTCCCGGCCCCAGCTAGGCAGCTTGTCCCAGCCCCAATTCCTCCCTCCCCCACACCCCTTCCCTGCCCCAACCACAACAGACTTACCAGCTGGAGGCAGCTGGCCTGCTTAGTCTATGGCCGAACCTCTGAAGCAGCACTGAATCTTTTGGATCAGATTCCAGTAAATCGAATCAAGACAGTGATTCGAATCTCCAAAATGAATCACTGTCCTCCAAATCAGCCGAATCCAAAGTGAATACTTGCCACTCCTCACAGGCCTAATACACGTACACACTCACACCCAAGTATGCTATGCATGTGTGTGTTTATGCATGCACACACACATCCCTAACCTCTATTTTATAGTTCAGGTTTTGTTTTAATTGTCCAGCAGTATAAGAAGTTAAATGGTTTCAGAGCTAGCAAAGACTTGCATGTAAAATGCAAACAATCATAATTAAAAATATGATTATTACACACATGAATAAATAATTTAGGACTTATAAAACAAGTATTCTTGACATGTTGCACAGTAATGGCTCCTCTGGAGTTAATTAAGTCTGTCAGCCAGAGGATGATCCTAAAACAATAGAGCTTACTAGCTCTGTTATTCTGAATTGTTACATATCATTATAACAGTTGACTGACTTTACAAATCGCCCTTTTTCTTGTAAGTGAGGGATATTGCTTATGTTTTCCCATGACATTTTCAACATTCGCCTCAGTTTATTTCAGTGACTCTTGCTAAAGTTATCTGCGTAGTCGTTGTTTGAATAGACAGGCATATATGTGTACTTTACAAACAAGGTTCTGCATTTGCGTGCAAACTCCGTGGTCAAAATGGTCTAACATGGGTGTCTAAAATTAGATGTCCAAATTACTAATTTCACCTCTTTAAAGGAGGCTGTCTTCAAAGGTCCTCTGAATCTTTTCATTACCAGGTTGGCTAATTACATGCCCACATTTGGCATTGGGTGCTTAGTTTTAGGCACTCATCCTGTACATACATATACCATACTGTAGCTCTAAATAACGACATAATTATAAATATGCATGTGTATATGGCTGCACATATATACACATTCTGAAAGGTTGCAGGCATATCTCAAAGTATACACAATTCATTGAAAACACCAAGATGCAGTAGATATATCTCTTTATTTAACATCCTGTTATTAATTGTATTAAATACTCATTTCACTGACAGAAAGTCATGTTGTGATGAGCCTGATGACAGCCTTGGAGTGAGTAATTTTTTCGCTGCAGGAGACATAAATCAGCCCATTTTCCAAATGAGTAGTGTTAGTATTAACCAATGGAAGAACAGCGCAACCAGCAGCACAGTTGGTAGCAACAAAGAGACTGGTAACAAAGAGGTTGCTTTGCATTCATGCAAGTAGATTAACACTTCTGAAATCACAGTTATATTTCTGTATGGCTGATAAGCATTATATTTAGGTCTGTTTATAATCAGAACATCTATGCTGATACCAAAGTGATGGTGTTTTGCACTGCTATTCAAAGGATACTTTATTTTGCAACTGCCCCCAGTAGTTTCTATGGAAGCTTCTGCACCACTGAAGGTCAGATCTGTTTTATTAGGTGCTTCATACACTGCTTTTTTTTTTTTTTTTTAATATAGTCCAGCATGTGTTTAACTCAGGGTGGGCAAAATTCAGCCCCTGGGCTGGATCTGGCCCTTCAGTGATTGGATCTGGTGAGCGCCCAACAATTGATTGCATCTGGCCTGCAATGTTCTGCATGGGACCGAGCCCCACCTGCTTCTGTCCAGGTCAGCCTATACTGTGATCTCCGGTCTACGCTGTCCTGGCCTCTATCAGTGCACAGAGGTTCCCAGCGGGGCTGCTCCCACTGCTGCAGCATCCACTCAGGTACTACTCAATAACCCTGCCTCCAGTGGCTTCTCCTCCTCCCCCTCCTCCTCCTGCCCCTGCTGCAGCGCTCTGGGCAGTTGGCAGTGCAGGGAACCTGTGGGGACATTAACTGGGCAGCAGATGCCCAGCCAGGTGGAGTGAGGAAGCTGTAGTTGGGTGGCTCCTGCCCCAGCATGCCAGGGCTCCAGCTTCTGGCTGCCTTCCACCTACTTTGCCTGCCCAGTGCAATGAGCAGTCATCTGCAGGTGGGAGCTGGAGCCTTATGTGCTGGGGCAGGAGCTGCCTGGCTGCAGCTTCCCCCTCAACTGGCTGGGCATTTACTGTCTGGCGCATTTCTTCATGGCTTCTCTGCCCTGCCTGCTGCCCACAGTGGTGCAGCAGGGGCAGGAGAAGGAGCTGCTGGAGGTGAGGGGGCTGAGCAGTACCTGGGCGGCTGCAGCTGCACTGGGAGCAGACCTGCTGGGAAGCTGTGCTTGCTGGCTGAGGCTGAGGCAGGCAGGAGCATAGTGCAAGCTGCCCTGGATGGGGCTCAGCCCCATGTGAAACACTGTGGGGGCAGTCATGGGGTGGACTAGGGGGCAGGTCACACCGCACCTGTACTGCCCAGGGAAACTCTGCTGCATGAGCCCTCCGTCCTCCCCTCAGTCCCCCCACTCACAGCCATCTCCCAGGTCCTACCATGTGGGCAGCCCCTCCCCCCCCA